TTATTATAATTCTACTGTCATTTTCCAAGCAGGGTTATACAATGACATTCAGATATAGTTCCCTTTATGCTACTTGCAAAACAAAAAAAAAATTGATAATAAGTCATAAAAATAAAATGAACATACAGGCATACAAACATATTCACACATACAGACAATGAGCAGTAGCAGTGGGAATGCTGCTGCATAAACCCACCTGTAATGACTCCACCAGGTCTGTAGGAGGCACTGGACGTAGACAGTGTGAATGGTGGGCTGTCGGTGGAGGGTGTGAAGGGTGGGTGCACAGGCATCATGTTGCCACAGGAGAGCGCCACCGAGCCGTTAGGGAAGCACACACACTCGTCCACATGCCACACACACACCACTGCTAAAAGCAGCACTGCAACCTTAAGAGGCATCTGCAACAGACCGGAGACAGCGGGAGAGAGTGGGGTCGCTTTATGGCTGCAATGAATGTCCCCGCAATATCAAATACAAACTTTTTCTTTCAGCTGAAAAACAGATGGTGGAATCAGATATTTAACAAATGGCTGTTCCTCCTGAACTTAGAGGAACAGCCATCAATATGACATCAATATGACACGAGCACTAAGGGGAAAAGGGATGGTGTACAGGTGAACAGAGACTCAGAGATCCCTCAATGATGGGAGTTGTAGAAAACAATAATGTAAGAATTTCACAAGAGTGTAATAACTCCCAGAAATGCACATATAGGGGGTCAGGGACATGTAACCCCATCTGGCTTTTATCGAGCAAGTGGTTGTCTTCCCTCAGAGCCAATAACATCAAATGCTCCAGAGCCCCCAGTCTGCTTCTCAAAGTGCAGGAAACTCAGCTTTAAAGGGTAAATCGGGGATTATTCTATATCTCCTTATTGTAAACAAATCTCATTAAAAAAAGACCAAAACCATGTCATGTGTTAGTCTGTCTCTCACTACTCTCTGACTTCCTGTCAGTGGCTCTCAGCTTCAAGCTCACTGGTTTCTACTGAAGATCAAGTCTCAAATATAAAGTTGATTTTTTTTTAATAAAAAGCTTTTTTGGGGAATGCCCTTTTCCAGAAATGCCCTGATCACGTTCACATCTGGAAGCTGCCAAGTTCAATCACAGTCATCTACTGGTCACTGGAGCAGTTGGGGTTAGGGGCCTTGCTCAAGGGCACCTCAGTGGCAGTAATAAGCTAGGGGCAAACACTGCCTTTGATTTTATTTAGGAGGCAGGGATTGAACCACAACTTTATGGTTACTAGACAACCGCCCCCAATATATGAATTTTTCAGATCAAAATTTGACATAAAAAACTTCCCCAGGTGGTCAGAATGTTACGGCTGATCGGTGTATAATAATATAGCAGTCACAGCGGACATTTTATACTGGGAGAAAGTACTTTTGCACTTTTTGATTACTTGCTGGTAATACTTTTACTTGAGCAGGATTCTGAATGCAGGACTTGTACTTGTATTTTTACATGATGTGCTGGTATTTGATAGTAGTTCTTCTTCCACCACTGCCCAGTTTTAGAGTGTGGCTCATTAATGTGTTTTTTATAGATTTTGGGCCACAATGCCACAGAGGAATAAGATATATCAGCGTTGATACATTGCCAGCATTGTCTTTAATGCAATGGTAAAGCTATGACTGAGAGAAAAGCTAACGCTACTTCATTAAAAACTGCAAGAACATTTGACTACACAAAATGAGAATATGATGTAATAGTAAATACTAACACAAATACTAATAATAACATTACCACCTTTTAAAACATTACATTTTTTTTACATTTCTGATTATAAAGTTTAACTGAGGAGCTTTAAAATCCCACTTGGAAAACAAATATTAACAATAGAGATTTTAATTTAAACAGAGCACCATATGCAAGCATACAACTTAATCTAAATGCTCATCTGTGTTCAAGATAGCATTCTGAATGTTGGCAAAGAGATTTTTTAACAGCACCCTGAAGCCTGGATGGTAGGGTAAGCATTCAGTAATCTACAACTCCATTTCCATAGCACTTCAGGGATGTATTAAAAGTTTCAGTGCAGTTCTAATAATCACTGATTCATACCCTGTCTGCCTTTTCATCCTCAGGGTAAATGTAAGATGACTTCCTTCCTGTTTGGTTTGAATCTGCCATTTATCAAACATATATTAGATTCACTTCACAATTGTCAATTTTCATCATCATAGAAATGTTAACACACGGTACACTGTAAAACCTAATGAGTTAGTTCAACTCAAAGTGTTTTAACTCAGACAATTTAAGTTAAATTTTAGTAACTAAACATAAGTAACTCGGGGTTCCTGGTTAGCTCAGTGGGTAGAGCTGGCGACCCATGTACTGAGGCTGAGTCCTCGCTGCAGTGGCCCAGGGTTCGAATCCAACCTGCGGCCCTTTGCTGCGCATCATCCCCTCTCTCTCTACCCCCTTTCCTGTCCGTCTTCAGCTGTCTCTATCATAAAGGCAATAAAAAGCCCCCTGAAAAAAAAAAAAAACTTGAGTAACTCAAGTATTTAAGGTAAGTTAACTTGGGTAAATTAAGTTCATTGTACTAATTCCCTTTAGTTAATTAAACTTGAAACTAGTAGACGTATTTACATACACGCATATGCAGCATTTCTCCAAACTTATTTAAATGTGTTAACAGAATGTGGACTAACTTAAGTTCATTTTCTTTATACGTACGAATTATACCACTTAAGTTTTCAGTCCTCAGTTTTCTACATTTACATTACCCGTTAAAAGCGCTGACGTATGAACAATTAATTAATTATCTTCTCTGGTTCAATTAATTTAATTGTCACTGCTGTAATTAAGTTGTAAACAATATCCTACCTGTTTTTTATGTGACTAGCATCTCATTTTTAAACTTCATGGAATCATTAAGAATGATTTATAAATTGAAAAATCCTAAGCATTATTGCACATTGGGGCTTACATTTTTGGAATTATATAAGGTCAAAGAAAATGAGTCAATGAAAAAAACTTTATAAATGAATTATATCACCAATACTTAAAATACTGCACAAACTGAAGTTCACTAAAACAACTGAGTTATTACTTTAACAGAGATGAGATATAAGATATAAGAAAAAATTTCATTCATGGGATTGAGTGACTCGTTTGGAGGATAAAGTTATGTTAATTTACTTCTTCTATTAAGATATGCTGTTAGGTTTTACAGTGTATAAACAGACAAATGAGTTCTGGCTTTGGAATTTTAATTAGACTGACAAACCTAAATGTTAACTTAAGTCAAGTTTTATTTGAACATCCGATATTTTGTATTCTATCTCACAACATAAGAAGTGTTACATTTAATCTTGTCTCTTACATAGAACCTGGATCACCTACTCTGCTAACGTTTGTCCAGGTGCAAGTACTAACCTTGTCTCTGGAGCTGCTGCTTTTTCCTGAAGACACACACAGAGGTTGATCAAGGTTCCTTTCTAAGAAAATGACAGATAATATGATAAAATGACAGCTTGGTTGTTTCTGAATCTTGTCAACATTGGAAAATGAAATGAAATCTACCTGGAGGTCCTCCTCTGTAAGCCACAACGCCTCGTCCAGACCGGTTCAGATGAGTAATTGGTGTGCATTCACCTGTGTGATTTGGTTTCACCGAGGAGCCTCCATAGGGATCCCATCTCCTGTAACCATGACAATGCTGATTGTGCGTTGTAAGAGGGGCGAGGATTCTTAACAACACAACGGTCTCACATACAAACACCAGAGGGAAAAGCTCATGTTTCGGATGATAGTGTAATTAGTACCCACAGTTCTCAAGGTATAAAGCCTTGTATCCCCTCTATTTGCATTCCATACAGCCGCAGCTCCAATTACCATGGTTAAGCTGCCAATCATTGAAATTACATTTTCTTAGTTTGTTCAGTTGTTTGTTACTTCAAGTCTCCCTTTATATTATTAACCTGTTAATGTACAGTGAAGTTTATCATTTCCTTTAAAGCCCATAAACTAGCTGAGTTTAAAGATAATTCAGTAAACTAGCAAGTTTTTTGTTGTTGTTGTTAGTCACAAGCTTGTCCCCAGGAAAACACATATTCTGGATTGTTACGATATAGATCCAAAAAGAAAAATGGTAATGCATTGATTTTTCGTGGTCCAGTATTTCTACTGTGGAGACCTTAGAGACATTTTATATAGTATTCCTATGGGATAAAATGAGTAACCCCTAGTTATCTGAGCTCCCCTTAAAAGCCCATTTTTAAGAGGCGGGGCCTACCAGCAGGACTTTTGACATCACAAATAGTTAGGAAGTCAGTCCTGGTCCAGTATGCAACTTGTACAGTGTGATGTAGAAACTTGAAGCCACCAGTGCACATCCACTGAGAATGGACTTTACAGTGAAGTAGGAGACATCTTGGGTCCAGGCAACAAACTTTTAGAGAATCAACAACATTTTGCGCATATTCAGAGATTCTGGAAGTTTTAATGAGCTAGAAGTGAATAACACTGATTATCTGGTTATCGTGGCTCCTGTCAGTGGGTGGGATATGTTATGCAGCAAGTGAACATTTAGCCTGAATGTTGATGTTAGAAGCTGGAAAAATAGGCAGTTTGAGGATGTGAGCAAATTTGACAAGGGCCAAATTAGACGACTGGGTCAGAGCATCTCCAAAACTGCAGCTCTTATATGTTTTAATACATGTCTGGAGGGGATCTTTAACATATAAAATTCTAAAAAGTTAATACTTATTTTTGTGATTTTTTAAAAAAATATTAAGGCTCATAAAAATGGATTGTGTTGCCACATATCTTGACGTTTCCAGAGCAAAGGTAGACAGACTCTACCTCTGACAGAAAAAAATTAACATAATAAATATAATTGTTAGTCATTAATGGGTTAAATGTACTTCATTCACTGTATGTACAGCAGTTTTGTGGGTTAGTCAGTGTTTGTCACCAGGAGGAGCAGCAATCAGAAGTCAGATACTTGTCAATAACAGCTGATCTTTTATTCTTTACGTGTGATACAGTAAGCAAAAACAACAACAGCAGCTCTGTGGGCTACAACAGGTAAACAACAGTGAGACTGGCAGTGACAGTCAAGTGTACACAGTGTATTGGATAGGTGATGTTATATAGATAGTAGCATACTGGTGCTCCTCAGCTGTTTCTGGGTTGTGACGTGTTTGTACTATTCTTCTATTTTCAAGCCAGCAACTCCACTGATGTATTTTCATTTCCACAACTGAAATGTCTACAGGAGTATAACCAGTCAGAAGTTAATGCTCCTGCAGATCACAGCCCTTGCATCAAATTCTACATTCTCACATTTGACCATTTCAGTTCTTTCAGGAAGAAAATTCTTCACAAGTAGTTGTTTTCTTGTATGGGAAAACCGTATTATTTTAAAAGAACATTTCAACATTTTTAGAAATATGCTTGTATCAGCTGTCCCAGAAACACATGAGAAGAGAAATACAAATTTTTAAGACATTGATCATCTAGCTTACCCCAAAGACTGAATGAGAACAAAGACAAACAACTGACCTGACTCCAGTGCTGTCTTATTTATAGGTTTAGCTTGGTAGAGTCTGTATGAAGTTTTGTTCATGTTAATTTAAGTTGTGCATACCCCATAATGAAAACAGTACACCAGAGATGCTACATACAGTCAAGGCACTCGACAGATCAAGAAATAGCTTGTCAAACAAGTTAAATGTGTAAATAACAGCTTAGGAGGCTCATTTTTTGACTATCATAACATCATAACATCCAGGTCTCTGTACTGGACGCACAGGAATATGTTTTCACCTACCTTCAAAATTTACGCATTGTGTGACTGTCTAACAACATCAAATCACGGTTGATTTTTTATTTTATTTTTTAACACAGATCAACGGAAAAATATAGTTTTACTTCAGATTGAAAATGGTTGCCTGCAAAGGGGCATGAATATACATTTATAAATGATATAAATGCACCTATATCTGGAAGGTCCAACTTCTGGTTAGATAGTATAGTGTATAGTGTACTAACCTACACTATGAAGACTTAAACATTGAACTAAAACATTCCAAGCAATTCTGTGAAATCGTGGTCGCAACACACCAGTCAGTGGATAGATTAGAAGAACATTTCTAAGTCACGTAATATCCTTGATTTCATGATCAAGGAATGGAAACGGTGTGGCACAGTTGTCAGTCTGCCGGGGGCAATACTTGTGGAAAAAAGATTAGTTTTTTTTAAAGATAATTCAGTATACTGTGATTTAATGTTGTAAGACAATAAAACATGAAAACTTCCAAGGGTGTGACTGTATATACTATATATTGACCTTCTCATCTCAGCCTGGGGAGGCAAGCATATTGTACAGTGTGTTAAATCCACCATGTTAAGGGGAAACTCCACCAATTTTACACATGTGTTGCTAGTGCTACTGAATATGTAAAAAAAAAGTTGTTTAAAGACTTTTATGTCTCCAGAGTTTCAAAATGAAAACTATAGCTGCTCCTCATCTCTGCTTGAAGCTGGAGGCTCTAGGCTACAATAGCTGCGACTAGCATAACACACCTGAATCTTAGACCAATCTGTCAGCTGCTGAGTTGCATTGTGGGCAATGTATGCACCAGGTTTTGAACAGAAAGAATGTGTGTACTAAAAAAAGACAACATCTCAGTTTTGCTGCAGTTTTATAGGAGAGCAATGCTAAATGTGGAGTAGTCTTAAACTGTTCTAAAGACAGTTTGTTTGACTTGTCTAAGTGGTTGCACTATTGAACCATTACTAATATCATATTTTAGTGTTGTATTTTGACTTATATATATATATGCAGTATTTTGACTTCTTTAGACTACTACTGTTTGCATTTGGTTTATTTGGTTAGTAGGTTTAATTAGTATAAAACTGTTGCCTGTCTTGATGTTATAGTAGTCTAGAGGTGGCATAAGCTAGTTGCTACATCCAGGTTCCTTCACAGTGCCTGGTGGATGTATTAAAAGGCTTTCACTTTTAGGAGGACTGCTAAAGTTTGTTATTTTGTAGGGAAAGTGGGGTCATGACAATGATCAGCTTGTCACGATAAAGAAATGACTTTGTGATAAGTAAAGTTGGCAGTAACTCTGTTATGTTAGTCAGTCTAGGGCAGCAGGCTGCGTTGTGTCTGTTGTATATTGTGTAAATTTAAAAGTTTTTTTGAGTGGCAGAAAAAAACAGCATGGCACCAGCAGTACAACCTGACCAATTTTTCACAGGGATGTGTATGTAGAACAGGTCTGGACCAAGGCTGAGGGGGCTCAGTCGCATATTCTTCCTGTGGTCCAGTCTGTCTGTTGCCACAGTAACAATAAAGCAATAACATAGTCCGCCTACAGTTTTTTTTTTTAGTCTTTGTAACATTTTAATCTTAGCTGTTTCATAACCTATAACCTAAGCTAGATGGGTTCTGTACCTAAACCTAACCAAACCTTAACCACAGTGGCGTAATATCAAAAAAATTGTTTTATTTGTGAAACAGTTGAATTGTTGAATCTCAACTAATACGGTTTTGAAATGTTACAAATACTCAGACTATCCAAATAAAGCGTTACCAATAAAGCTGCCACAGGGCTTTCATCTGCATCGGATGCACCTTTAGTGGAACATAGCATCATAATGAAAAGGTAAGGGAATGGATAGATTACAGATATCCACTACAGGGAGCACTTTTAAAATGGGATGGGAGTTACTTGCAGGGATGGACAGAGGGATGGATGAAGGGTCCTTAAAACGGTGAGAGCGACAGTGAGAAGGACGGGAATGAAGAATGGATTAAGGATGTTTATCAAAAGACAGGTTTGCTCCTTCTGTCACAGAAAGCCCAGTATGTCCTAAAGCTAGTCTATCTTCACATTGCCAGGGAGGAGTGAATAGATTTAGTAGCATGCTGGGTAAATGAGCATGGCCTCCGTCAGGTGGAGGAGGCTTAAGCCTTGTACTCGTGTCAGTACTTTAGATAAACTTCCAGTTGTTAAATATTGCTACAGAGCAGAAACTGTGCTTTGTGTGCAAAAACAATTTTACTGATGAGCAATAGCAGTATTCTTGATTTCTTAGTAGTGATGATACTACTACGTACAAAAACAAATATACTTTTAGGAGCATTCCTAGGTGTGAGGAAACCAGCTTAAAGTGATAACACTGACAGACAGGAGTTAAAGACAGTGACCACAGGTTGACATCAGAGACCAGAGGAAGAGTTACAAGGTGAATGAACGTCGTAAGGCCTTACATTGCTAGCAGCAGGCTTAAGTGTAGCACCAATATGAATGTAATGTGACCTTTGGTACCAGTGGTTTGTGTTAAGGGGTTGAGGTGAGAGGTTACAGTTAAGACTTCAGGGTCTTGGTGCCTTACAGGACTGGCAGCAGGCCTTCCTGTAGTACCAATGGGAACACAGTTTCACCTTTAGCACCAGGGCACAGTTGGCTGTTGGTTTGTCTTGGCAGGAGTTGTCTGCTGCTACTGATGCTGCTGGAGCTGCCGCTGGATAAACACACAGAAGCCACAAAAAGTCTGAGATATGTTGAAAAAGGACATGCTCCGTTTACACTAGGGCCTTGCAGAAAAACACTTTGTCACAGTGACGCATGTGGGAGGTAATTTATCCTCAGCTGATAGGGCTGAAAGTGTGCTAAAATATTGCATCACCTACAGTTTGTTTTTGTACCTGGTGCCTCCGTCGGACAGCTCTGAATTTCACAGCTCTGTCGGGCTTCTGGCTTGAGGGTAGAGTCGCAGCTGTGGCCCCTGGTTACCAGCTCCTCCCCCTGGTAACACTTCACTTCTCGAACCTGCACGCCACTTCCACAGGTCTTACTGCACTGAGGGGGGGCATTAGGGGGAAGGACATTTCAGTTTTCTCTTCATATTATTGATAATCAGACCTACAAACACACTACTATGGTATCTGGTGGTGAGCAGTAGCAATATTTTGGCTGTTTCTGGTTAAACAAAAGGTCTGTCTCTGCAGGGATCATTTACATAATGGGCGGCTGTGGCTCAGAGGCAGAGCGGGTCGTCCCCCAATCGGAAGATTGTTGGTTCGATCCCCGGCTCCTCCCTATTTGGGCCTAGTATCCCTGGGAATTATGTCCATATTGGATC